AAAGAAAGTAGCTTCCACAAAACTGTACACTGGTCAGTGTTGGGGACTGGCCTCTAATCCAGTCTCTGACTTGCTATTCAGGGCTCTGCAAGAGCCCGGCTCACAGTAGGCACTTGATCGATGATTATGCAATCAGATTCTTTAGAAAGGACAGCCTGGTCACAACATGGACCTGGTTACTGATCGCATAGCCTCAGGATCAGAGAGACATGGATCTTAGATCATTGAGTCTACCACCCACAGCCCAGATGGAGAAACTGAGGCCCCAAGAGGAGCAAGCCTCTGTACTTCAGCCCAGAGCTCCCTCTACCCATGCCATAGCCTGAGAATTTAATAAATATTTCCTGAGAGCCTCCTGTTTGTGGGCACAGTGGTAGGTGGGAGGAGAAGGGTCATAGACGAGCCAGCACAATCCTTGGCCTTCAGGTGCTCACTACTTGGGGGAAGGACTGGACAAGTGTGTAGCACAGATCTGAGTTGATATAGAAGCCCTGAGGGTTTGGAGAGCTGAGAAGAGGGAGAGCCAGATTAGCTGGGGGTAGAGGAGGAGTGGTACTTGATTTTGATCTAGAGAGACAGAGAAGATTTTGATAGGTAATGATAAAAAGTGATGATCCAGGCAGAGGGGATGGTATGAGCAAAGACTTACAAGGAGTGTATGTTGCTCATGAGGGGCCTGTAGGTTTGGAAGATGAATCAAGAAAGGCAGGAAAGGGCTAGATCCTGTGCAATCTCAAATGCTTCCCCATAGCCTGGCCTGAGCTCACCTACCTTTGATAAACTGGATCACGGTCAGGTCTGGTGCAACCCGGGCTAGGCCGTCCTTCTTCTCTGGGGTCTCCCTGGGGCTCTGCTCAGAGAGGGAGTCCTCTTTCTGAGAAAACACACAGCCAAGGGCAGTCAGCTGGATGCCAGACATTCTGTTCAGACATGCTTGTGTGATGGGGAAGGGAGCTCTGGGAGAGGAGAGGGTGGGGTTTGTCACCTTCTCAGGAGCAACAGGGGCCACCAGAGTTCCATTCGTTCTTGTCCCTATAAGTACTTAACAAGTGGTTTGGAAAGAACGAATGAAATTCCAGTGACTAAACTTTGTCATCACCATCATTAGCATGACAATAATCACCAACATTATCATGAAAATTACCACCATAACCACCATTGTCATCACTATTCTCATCACTTTAAATATCACCTCATTCAAATCACCAATATTTTCATGAATAAATGATCAACTTTGCCTGACTAGTGTCCTTCCACCTGCCTGAGGATGGCCTACATGCAACTCTTGAAGGAGAGGTCTTTTATCCTGAGAAAAAAAGACTTCTGGGACACAATCACAGGAGGAAGGAGGATGGAAATAATGATGAATAATGGTTAATGCTTGCTAGGCACTTACTACAACCTCAGTACTGTTTTAATGACTAACCAGTGCATTAACTAATTGAAACCTCACAGCAAACTTCTCAAGTAGGTACCATGATAATCTCTGGTTTTTTAGGGGATAAAACTGAGACATAGAAAGATGAAATAACTTGCGTGATCACACAACTAGTAAGCGGTCTGGCTATGATTTGAATCTAGACAGCTTGACTCCAGAGCCTGTATTCACTTGGCTGGTTCTCCCTAAGTGGGGAACCAAGGTCACTGAGTGCTGGGTGTTCTACCTGCCTTGCTCTAATAAGACGCTTTCACACAGATACTATTACTGTGCATGTTTTTTAGATGAGGACACTATATCTTGGAAGTTGCTACTGGCACAAGATCATTCAAATATGTTATCTAGTGGGGTCTGATTTTACTACATTTTTTTTCTATGCAGCCTGAGATCAGAATTAGAAACAACAAGTTCCACAGAGGAAGACGGAAGCCCATTGTAAAGAGCACTTTAGGCTGCCCTGGGCGGAAGTGAGTTCCCCATAACTAGGAGCATGCAAGCAGAGGCTGGCTTCTCCCTGGTCTGGGGTGCAGTATGCCATAGGGGAGGGTGGGTATGGCTGGAAAACTTATCTGGGGTCCTCTGTTTCTGCCTCCTGTGGACAAAAAAGGGGTTCTGTAATAAAACCAATAAGTCCAGTGATGGAAAGTAACCTCATAGGGTGATCTGATCATAAATTCCTAACTGAGCAGGTCATGGTGTGTAGTCACCCCTCAGGCCTATAACTTCTTTGCCTTAAGCCAGCCCTGTCCACTGTCCTGTGTATGTAGGTTAACACACCTTTGAAATGCCCCAGTAATCCTCTTGTTTTTAGACACCCCTCCCAGAGGCATAACCACCTTCAAGAGAGCATATAACCTTGTTAACTACCCTATACCTTGCTTTCAGATGTCTTCCTTACATTCCCTCCCTAATTCCAAATGTATAAAAGAAACCACGCAAGTGTCGTTCTTCAGAACATTTGAGATATTGCTTCTTGGCAATTGTCATCAGGTCAGCTCAGGTAAAATCTTATAAAAATTCTTTGCAGGTTTAGATGTTTCTTATGTCTACACTCTCTTCTATCCCCATGGAGCCTCCGTCTCTACAGGCCTCACCCTC